CGTTTGCAAAGTTACACAAGCCGTTCTGGCCTGGCCACCCCTCCGCTATTTGTTCACGTAATGCGATTGGAAACGTGCAAGGGGACAGCTCCTCGCCTCTGCCCCTCCCGCGCCTCCCCGTCCCGTCCTCCCCCCCCCTCCCCCCAGACACGTTGCACAGGGAACGTTAAGGGGAAAGAACCAAACGGAACACACATCCTGAGACACACTCGGTTTAATCTGGGGCGAACATGCAGGAATTTCAAAAGACTCAGACAGACGAAGGCAGCCAGGCCATGGGGCGAAGCCAAAATATGCATGAAGAAAAATGCTATTAGGTCACCAGCCCTGGAGAGGCGGGAAGTCAGGAGGTGGGGAGGGTGCTAGGGGCGAGAGTTGGGGGTTGGAGGTGGAACGATTGTGACTAACATTTATCCTTAAGGAGTTACCCAGACACATTTTCCAATGCATACTCACTCACTTTTATGGGAAGTGCCCTCAGCAAATAAACCCCAGGATATCAAATTTTGTTTTTTGTGTGTTGGTAATATGAGAAATGGGTTACAAATTTGTTTCCTACAGTGAATAATAACTAAAAGTGAAATTTTGCAGGGAACAAAAGCCAGTAACACTGAAACCTGCCTCTTTTTCAGACTGCTGGCCTGATCTGTACTTTGAGTGGAAGTAAAGAACCATCTTTCACCTCAACAGTGTCTACCAGGAAGTTTCATTGAGCAGGGGCTGGGGTGAGACTGCCTGAGAGAGCACTCAGAACAAATAAGCATTTTATCTGACTTTTTTCCCCTCTCTCTTTTACATCTAATAATTAGGTTTCACTTTGGATTTTAAAAATGTCAGTCACCATTTGTTAAATATCGAAAACTCCTATGATGTTTGATTGATCTTCCAACTTAAACAAAAATGTTGCTAAAGAAACAGCTGGGATTCAGATTTTGGTAAAGAGAAGGGTGTAGGAGTGGCCAGAGGAGAATGGGCAGGAGGATAGGGTGGGAGGTTGGAAAGAGATGCTTAATGGACCAGATATTCACATACCACACAGGTTTTGGGCAGTGCTGGAGACATTTCAAAGGAAAATTGCTGCTAAACAGCTTGACTTAAAACTATGACTCAATACCAGATTTTAATAACCTTTTGTTGGTGTCATCCTTGAGCTGTTGTCTGAGCTAGTGTCATCCTTGAGCTGAATACTTCAATATTCAGCTATCTCTGTTAGTCTCTGTCACTCCACGTGTTTTTTTTTAAAATATATTTTTAGTTATTTCAGGGAGAAAGGGAGAGGTAAAGAGAGATAGAAACATCAATGATGAGAGAGAATCATCCATTAGCTGCCTCCTGCATGCCCACTTTGGGGATCGAGCCTGCAACCCGGGCATGTACTCTGACGGGAATTGAACCCTGACCTTCTGGTTCATAGGTCGATGCTCATCCGCTGAGCCACGCCAGCCAGGCTCTGTCTCTCCACATTGGTGATGTTGTGGACATCTGCTAAGTGGACTGCTCAGCATCCATTTCCCTTTTGTTGTTGTTCTGAGCAACTATTTTCCTTTGGGAAACTTCCTCTACCCATTGAATTGTGGCACTAACTGAGCATTCATGAGACTTCCCCCGCTTCAGGTAGTGGTCATGATATCCAAGCTTGGCTCATCACACTGTCTCCCTAGAATTTGACTCTTAAGCAGAAAGACACAGAAGTCAACAATGTTGGGGTCCACTCTCCCCACTACTGAGGAAAGTGTCTGTGGGGTCTTGCTATACCAATATCTTTGAACACCTGGTCCCCCTGAGCTGTGTTACAGCAATATCTTTGAACACCTGGTTCTTCCATTTTTTTTCCAATGTGTTCCTTTGTTCAGAGTCAATATCTGTTATTTGCCACCTAAAGAACCCTGACTGACACTGGGGGAATTGTGGCCGCTTCGCTCATCTACTCTGATCACACAATTTTGAGTCCAAGGTGATAGGTTTGGCTCTTTTTGAGTCCAGTTGGATTTGCTCTGCCCATGACCCCATAGTGTCTTTGGTCACAAAGAGGTGTCAGATGGAAGCTTGCCAGTGGATTAGCAAACCTATTGCTTATATGATGAAGATAAAACTTCAAGTGCAAATCCCACTGATGATAGGTCAATGGTGTCATTTCTTTCTGCGAAGGTCAGAGACATCTCCAGCTGTCATTTTATGGACTTGATGCTGTGGTTAAAATTAAACTAGTCAATTTCTCCAAAACCACAAAGAGAAGATAGAGTAAAAAGAAGCAGGTGTATATAATTTGAATGGACAGGCCAAATTATAGGAGTAGCAGGAAGGGAGAGTGTATAATTACCTCTCATCTGAAAAAGATTCTGCGTGCACCCATGAAGTGTATTCCCCAGAAGAGAGAAGCCTGTAACTGCTAGTGCTTGACCGCATGTTCCCCAGGGAAGACCTCTGCTGTGGAGGTCACTGTCAGAGCGGCCGACCACAGCAGCTCCTAATGGAGGGAAGAAAGTTTATGCTGGATCTCAGATAAAATAGCCTTGTTTCCAATCCTGGTGCTCACACAAAAAAGCTGTGTATCTTTGGCCATTTGATTTACTTTCCCTGGCTCTCAGTTATCTGTAGGAATCAAGAATTATCCAAATCTTTTCTAAAGTAGTTTTTCTAGTTTTAAAATCTGATTTTTGTGAATGTCTAAGTACTTGCAACTACTTTCAATTCATTCACTATAGTGTTTCATTATGATTATTAATATTTAATTGAATAACTACTTCAGTTGGACTTTAAAACATTGGATGTATTTTATGTGTGAGCTAGAGTTTGCAGACTGTCATTTTCCTTTTTTACTTATTTCCCATCAGTGAAATTCAATATCCATTTATTTCCTTTACAAATACTTTGAACACATTTATGCTCTGAAGTGTACTATACCGTAATGGTAACTGGCACACATGAGCACTCAGTGAATATCAATGAGTTCATGCATTCTCAGAACTTATAGCTGAATGAGGTTCACCAATTTTTGAATTTGCTCCAACAGTTTTAAAAATGTCTTTATACTCTTATCAGAATATAAGTAACTAATGAGAACAGTAAGGGTGTGCAATATTTATTTTCTTTAAAAGCATTACTTTATGGGGGGAAGCGCATTACCCTTTGTGACACATCCTAAGAGACGCTTAATTGGTTTTCTCTCTCTTCCACTTTCTCTAAACTCTGGCTTAAGACTCAGCCAGCTGAAAACCAACATGTGGCTACCACATTGGGGACAATTGAAAGTGTTTGTGAGCCCTATGGGAGTTAGTCTAGACACATATTGTACTCTCTGTTTAATGACAAAACGATTATTCACAATATTGGAGAAACCACAATTCCTTCTACTCAGCACTGAAATAATAATAATTGTAACTGCAGCTATATCAAGATACCTTTAGTTTTGTTAAAATCCACAGATGTTTTCACTTTGATATTGAGACTTTCTTTTTGTGGACAATTTTGCAGCATATACCATAAGAGGAAGAGAGATGGAATGATGTCACTTTTTTTTTTAAAAAAAAGTGTTTTTATTGATTTTTAGAAAGAGAGGAAGGGAGGCAGACAGAGAGACAGAAACATTGATGAGAGAGAAACATCATCAATTAGCTGCCTCCTGCATGGCCCCTACTGGGGATCGAGTCCACAACCCAAGCATGTGCCCTGACCAGAAATCGAACCTACAATTTCTTGGTTTCTGGGTTGATGTTCAACCGCTGAGCCACACTGGTCAGGCTGATGTCATTTTTTAAAAATTTTTATTTAAGGTTCTAAGGTATCAATATTAAGGACTTAAACTGCAAAATCTGGCCCAAAATGGGGAAATTGTCATAAAAGGGAAAGTTGTCATAAAGCTATGTTCCTGATACCTAACTGTATTTATATTTTGGGAATAATATTTTCCATATAAATGGAAAGTTGTGTTACATAGAAAGCCCAAACCATATAGTAGTGTTTCTGATAAACCAATTCCAGAACACTAATGCCATTGTCAGAGGACTCTGGGTGGAACATAAATTCTTTTGTTTGGGGCTCAGGAAGCTCATAAATCCTATTCTTTGGTCAAGACTAATGCTCATATGTGCTTTGATGCTGTGTAGTTCGAAAACATCCAAGGAAGTAGAATAAAGAAAGTGTGAAGCTGGAGATCTGTAAGGGGAAAATTATTGAGAAAAGAGGTAGGTATGACATCCACACCAGGGGGATGAACTGAGGGGTGAATGAGGACATGAACACATTTAAAAAGGTAATTCAAAATGGGTAACAGAGTGAAATAAAAAACCAGGAATCTTTTCACTTGGAG